ACATGATATATTAGCCTAATCCATATCTGCTTGTATTTGTTATGATCACCAAAGAAAGCATTTTTGTCGATTTCACGACCTACGAAATATACATGTACAATTAAAGTATTCGGCCCCTCATGAAAGTTACAAATGGTTTGAATGGGATTTTCCGAAGCTTATTAAATAATGAAGTACATAGATTTTAGATTTACAATACTAACGGAAGTATTAAAAAAATGTGAACAACTTAAGAGTTGGAGAATGAGAAAAACACTAATGTTCGAATACTGATTAAAATATCTTTAAAAATAAAAAATAAATTGATAGTTTACGAATAACTCACTTGAAGTTTACACCCTTCAGTAAATAATCTTTAGCAGTGAACTGAACGAAATCTACAAACTTATAATCCTTGTACTGATAATGCTATTATGCTTATTACTAATTCTTTTCGAGGTTATAGTGAAAAGTAGATGAAGGTTGTAATTGTCCAGATGCATTTATTCTTTATCGTATTGTAGAACTTAATTTCCAATACTACTTCGTACAAGCTTTTAAGGTTTGTCTTACTGAACAACACTACCAACGTTTACCCTTTCTAACATCACTGCTACCACATCATTTTAATTAGTCTGCTATTCATTTTGTTAATTTTATCTTATCATGCTAAAATAGTAATGGCAACTTGAAACAACGCACATTTGTGACAGGCTGTACGTTGTTTATGACTGAGTGACAGCCATTCAGCTACAACAAGATGAACACCGGATTCATAGAAGTAGTTAATTTAGTGGTGGTAATATATAAAAGATAGGTTGTATATAAGGATACAGTAGAGGAAGAAAGACAGATATGAAGCAATTTCAATCTCAAGGTTTAAGGGAAGATAAAAAGTGTATACACCTAAGCCATTGTGATAGATTCTGAGCCATGTCACACAGAGTCACCAACCATTGGTTACGATAGTCACGCGGACCCCAAACAAGTAGTCTACATCTACCAACATGGCTCAGACTAGAAGTTGGTGACTTCAAGCTCTGATGCCACGTTTTGGTTTGACCACCCCTAACTCTCTTCCAATCATCCCCAACACTAGTCAGCATTGCACGCCGTGGTAATCGGTGTTCAGGCATACGTAACACGTGGCCCAACTATCTCAGTCGATGAAAATTTACAACCTCATCAACTGATTTACCATCATTCCCCAATACCCTGCATCTAACCTCATTATTACTTACCCGGTGATCCCAGTAGATGCGAGCAATATTTATAAGGCATCTGTGGTCAAATACTAGTACCTTACAAGTATCTCTTCCTCTTAACAGCCACGTTTTGCAGCCGTACAGTAGAACAGAACGAACTTCTGAGCAGTATACTCGTCCCTTAATTGATAGACGGATATCTCGTCTTCGCCATAGGTGATGTAATTTGGCGACAGCCAAACGGGCTTCTTGAATCCGTGCTGAGATTTCGTCAGACACCAACCCATTAGGGCTGATCAGACTTCCAAGATAAGCGGAGTTGTCGACGCGTTCGACTACTTCACTCCCTATCCTTAGTTCATGTGTTGACACAGGTCAGTCCTGGAGTAAAAATTTACATTTAGAGGGGGAGAAACTCATTCTAAATATCCTGGGATTGTTACTTAGTTCTAACAGAAGACTTTGAATTTTGTCAGCGTCCTCACCAAACAGGACTATGTCATCTGCGTATTCTAAGTTGATAAGCGAACCTCCCGGTAGGAGATCAATTCCTGAAAATTCAGTCTACAAGAGTGTTATTTCCAACAGTAGATCGATAATGAAGTTAACAAGTATAATAACCGTACGGTTCAAAAAATTTCATATCGATATGTAATGTTATTACACTAGGTGAGAAATGAAATGGAAAATAAACTAGCCTTGTAAAAAAAACTGATTGGTCATATGGTCATTGGCTTGAGCGATGACAAGATTCTAATTAATAAAACAAGCTTGCAACTGTTTCATTATCAGAAGCACTAAAGCATCTTATTCATTTGAATATCACTGAATCTACAAAGTTATTAATTGATGAGATATTAAATAAAATTCTTCTTTCGTTCCAAACCATTTAATTATTCGATATGATTTTTTATCACTCAGTAATCAATTAAATGTTGTTGCATTCGGTTTCGAGTCCCACTTTCAGTCTCAAGATTCGTCATACCACTGCACTGCCTAAACAACTTAATATTTATAAGTCAACGGTTTTAACTATTTCATTATATATCAATCCTCTTTCATATAACATTCAACTCATCATTGGCATCCACATTTTTGTATTAGACAATGAATGGATGTACATATATCATACTCAAGGTGTCTGAAAACGTTCTGACCAATTTTAATAATACAAGTACGAGTTTAACCGATGACTGAACAGTTCGGAGTTCAATAGCATCTATACTATTTATCAACCAGCTTAACTTCAAGTTAAGATAATAATACAATGTTCGATTATCGCAAATATTGTGCATTCAGGTAGTTAGTGATTACGTATTTATAGGGCATGCCTTATTTATATATTGATAACTAATACAATTATTTTAAGTTTTTTAACTAAATCATAATATCGCTGTAAATTTACTACATACAAAGATAAAGAAGACTCTGATACCGATTTAAAATAATTTTATCCGCTTTTTAATTGAAATTAGTAGTTGTCAAACAGCTGACTCTAGGAACATGTTAGAGTTTAATAAACAAATAACAGTTGTACGTAACCAAGTTAACTGACGTTCAGTCCGTTGATTTTCTTACTGTCACAATCATAACTGCTGTATATTTATGAAGAAAATATTAACATGTTGCTTATGTGTCAGACACTTAAGTAAAATATCATATTATTTGTGTACACAACATACTTTTTTAAATCGATTTGCTAATACACAGGGGGATAATAGCTACTAAACAAAAATGCTTGCACATCATGTGAATTTACAAAAAATTTGCAGACAGTTTATCTAAGCACCAGGGCAAATCATGCGGTGTGATGTGATATGTATTTACGTATTTAATAAAAACATGTGAAACTGAAATTCACTGGTTTATGTATTTGACTGGTAATCAGTGGGACACAGGTTTGAACTTCCCCTCTTACCTATTTAGGCTAAAGCAGACAAATGTTATCGCCTACTCACACAACAGATGTAGATCATGGTTTGATCTAGATACAAATCAATCACAGATACGTTAACAAGTCTATAGCAAGTAATCTAGAGAATATGTGCAACTTCATAAATAAATCCACGCTCCCAGTTCCATCTAATGTTCTACAAATAAACAATATAACCCAGTGAAAAGGTGAAACCTGAAACGAGTCCACTGATCAAGAACTTCCAAAAACTCATAAATGATTCGTTACTTTCTGCAAATGGATTTTGAAACAATAAAAATTCCAAACAGGTTTAGTGTGATTAGTGACTGATTAGGTTAGTGGTTGTGAGTTCAATTCTAACAAAGTACATTAGCGTATCTGATCAGGAAATCACAGGAACAGATTATATAGCGCCTCATGGTTTCCTATGGTTGTTTAACTGACTAACAAAATTAGTTGATGATACATTTCGTGTTTGTAATGATCTGAAGTATTCTACATGCCTACTTTAATCCTCCTGACAAACAACACCAGGAAATAGAATTTACTATGGAGCATGAGCATAAGGGGAAAATCCATTTCTTAGACCTTGGAATTTAACGAAGTTCAAATGAGAATGATCCATACAGCCTCACTTATCGGAAAGGCACATGGATTGAAGTTTATATTAGACACAGAAGCTTCACTTCAACAAGTTATAAAGGAGAGAATGTACGGACCATTTTTGACTGTGTCCATAAACTTTGAGCCAACGAAAGACTAGAAGAAGAGTTTGCGGTCATTAAAAATAGTCGACATTAAAATTTATACACACAGATAACCGTCGAGAAGTACGCTATAACTGAAGAACGTACTAATCATGATACAACAGAAAAGAAAACTTGCTCCGCTCATCTTCGCCTAAAAGAGGAAATTATTTGAATAACTGACCACAGAATAAACACTACAATGAAGATTACTTATACACCCTAAAGGCTAACTACCTCATGTGAAACCAACTCCTACCTAAAAGATGCGTAAATCAACAAGTCCTCTTTTCTCAGCTCCCATAACTGTATTTGTTAGTTAACATATGCCTTAAAGCACATACGTTGGAAGAACAGAGCGAAGAACACATGTTCGCATTTCCAAGCGCGTTCCAGATAGTTTGAGACTAAAACATGCAACAGCCAGGTACTTAATTGACAACAGGCATATAATTGACGTTTTTCAATCCTTTAAAATGACCCAGTTTTTTTAAGGTTTCGCCTAAATAGTACCAATTAAGGAACTCAAACTGTATTTATCTGTCCGGAAAAAGATAGTTATTAATTTATGCTTGCCTCGGTAAATTCATATTTTTGGTTAAAACTACCATTAATTATTATCATTATTACTGTTATTATTGTGTTTGTTTTGATATTCAATCTTCAGTAAGCTAATTACTAATTCATTCATGCTAAATTTATCTTCTCATTCATATCTGAGTCTTTCATCAGTCGAATTCTCAAAACTTATGTCAACTCTTCAAATCTATATTTACTACACAATTCGTATTTTAGTTTCCGGATTCCACATACTTACTACCTCATCTCTATTTTTTGAGTCCCATGTTAAAATGACCTCAAACATGTTTATTCAGATATATATATATATATATATATACATATTCATTTATTACTGACAATCATTGTTTTAGTTCTTTCTGTCACCAGTATCTATAATTTCATATTATAGCTCAATGATACATTTTAATACCAATACAGGTGTAAGCAGCTGAGGCGAAACTACGAAACAAAACAAATTCATACTATTCTGCCTTAATTGTTGTTTTGGCTTTGTTAATATAATTTTCAGTAAATTAAACGGAAACTTGTGAGACCAACTAATTATTTCAAGAAAAAATGATAATTTTCACTTACTTTTCATCCGTTACATGAGTCTGGTAGGATGATAGTACATGATTATTTAATTGAATCGAATTATCAAAAAATGGGTTCCAATTCATTTTCGAATTATTATTATCATCAACATTACTGTTATTAATATGACGATGTTTATCATTGACACTTGGATCCTGAAAGTTAATATAAAAGTAAAGATTTATTAAAATTATAAGTTGTATATAGTTAATCTATCAGGTCGAGCTTAGTTAGGAAATTACTGAAAACCGAAAAGTACTAGATGGCTGTTTCTTTCTAGTATGGGGCTCTTCAGAATTCACTCACTGAGGACGCTGACTAAAGATCGTAGTCTGTCGTAAGTTGGTTGGCATTGCAATTATAGGACAGTGGATTCCACCTCAGTGATCTAAAGGGAACGCGTGAACTGCAAGCTCTCCCATTTGATAGCTGAAGCTTACTGTTGTTAAGGTCGGTATCAGAACGAAGTAGCTGTTCAGTGTTATCTGGTTTTTTATGTTCACTTAGTTAAAACTAGTCTATGATGTAAAGTACCTGTAAATCAGACATCTCATTCCAACAAATTACATACAAATAACCAAGTTAAACATTAATTATTCGTCAATAAATACTGATAACTACTATCTTTTATGCTAAGGACTCACTACACGTTCCGATATAATTTTATGGTTCCCCAATTCGTAAAGAAATCAACGGACAAATTATTTGTGCACGTAAAATTAATTTTTTGCTGTAAATTTATAGCTTATAACGTAAAAACGGCAAAAACTGAACTTAATGGTTACATCCTATCCTAAAATTTAGACGCTTATCATCTATAAACAACTTTAAGAAATAAATATAACTTTTCGTATGACCTTAGACAGATTGGTTCAAATGAAAACCAACACTTGTAGTTGTTAACAGCAGACAACGAAAATTTTGTTATCTAACACCGACTGATAAACTGCATGATAATTTCTCATTCATTTAATCAATTAAGGAAGTTTATCTGAAATTATGTTTTGTTCATGAAGCTAAAAAGTTTACAAATCGTAAAAAAAGGTCATGCCTTTTCTACATTTTCGTAACTGCTTAAATCATAAGGTACCGTAGAGCTACTAAGCGTATTCTAATTTATTATTCAACAGCCATTGTAACCAGTCAGTTTAAAGCAGAGAACATTTTACTTAAGATGACTTAAAGATTATCTTTATAAAATTTTGAACCAACTAAGTCAAGATAAGTGCTGTTAGCAATAAGGAAAGATTAGATAATTTGATGAGACCTACATAAATGGTCGATTAGTTAAGGCAATACAATGGTAAGTATTACCTAATCGACTAGTACATACCTTGAAAGTAATGAACAGTAGGCCCACTTATGAATCTACATATCAAATGACTTCTGGATGCCTTACTACAAACTAAATTAGTGTCCACTATTAGTGATAAGAACAAACCCGTACCAATAGCAATGAAGGACAATATAATACGATCCACTCACTAATTTGGTTCAAATTGATGTATTCTATCGCTGGATACGCATGTTATACAATAGCTAATGAAGCGAAGTGATTAGAAAGACGAAATTAAGTAGTAGAATATACAAACCAATGGATCAATAAATGAAAGCTATATCCGTAAACAAACGAATGATTTTCCCATCAAATAATAAATTCATTAGAATTAGAAGATACCGAGTTTCAGACTAAAATATAATAGATTGGTATTAATGTATCTATCACAGAACCTGAAAGCACGATATTTAATAAAAGAACTCAATAAAGTAGTACTTCAGAACATTAGATTAAAACAGGACGGTTGTGTAGAGCTCTCTGATTTTCATTTATTTTAGAATATAAATTGACATTATGTACAAAAGAGAGAATACACAAAAAAGCCCAATTAACAGTGTATTTTACAGTCTCATCATCATTCTTTTTCGTATGGCAGCTTATGAGCAAGTTAGTAATAAATAAATTAGCACCATTGTGGTTACATTCAAATATAAAATGGTTAATTTTAAAAAATATATATGAAAATTTTCAGATAATAAATTCCCTTCATAAACTCTTGTTAAACAAGAACAAACATTTCAGGATGAAGTGAATTCATTTCATTTAGAAAGCTATAAATTTTCCGCATACGAACTGATTTACATAAAGAAATTTATTTGCCCATTAATGTTTGTGGTTCTTGCTTTACAAAATAAGAATTTCTCACCATTTTCATTTCTTTTGACATCATGACCGTCTTCTCATTCAAATCCGTATTTTCAGAACCCAATTTTATTAGTGTCTGTTTTTCAGTTGATAATTTGGTTGGACACATTTGTGGTATGACCTTAGGTACAATGGCTAATTCACAAGAATCTTCATCACCTGAGTGTGGAATGTTCCTTTCATCTACTAGTACTGCCGTCGATGACAACAGTGAAGATGGTGGTAGTGGTGGAGGTAATGATGGTGATTCATTCATCGTAACTCTAAGTGTAGTATGTTCACTCAGTTCTGACTGAACACAAAAATTCGGTGGATTCTATAGACAAACATAAAAACAAATATATGTGTTCATGAATTAAAAAATTGTGAAGCGAGAATACTGAATAGTTGTAATCTAAGAATAAGAATAAAGTAGACCACTAAGGTTGACATAAAATATTGGGTGGAGTAGATAAGAGTAACAGAAGAAAAAAGGGTAAGTTATTACTTATATGATAACTTACAGTAGTTATGAGATATATTTGTAGCCATATGAAGAATCCTAAAACTCTTGATTGAATTTTAGAAAAAAATAAAAATCGATGGTTATAAATTTTCACAAAACTGAGTAGAAACTTTTATTAGTGAAACAGGTTCAAATACATTTTCATCCTCATCTTTCCACAAATTTTTTACCTTTTCATTATGAAATTTGATATTATATTCACTTTGATGTTTTACCACTCGCTATGCGTTAATTATAAAAGGCGTTTTTATTATTAATATCTCCAAGTGTAGCTGAATAAATGGTATTCCTTATATCTCACAACGATTTCAACCACCTATAGCTAGTTGATATGCAAACAACTAAATCCTGCTACATAAAATTGTTCATACTTTATGGCCTAAAAGTCACAAGTTTCCTGTTATCTGGTAACAAAACCAATAAAACTCACTAAAAATGTTTGTATGAAAATGAATCATTTAAGGAGCAATCATTTATAAATTTAAATTATTAAATCAAAAACTTCAATAAATCACGAAATACAACAGGTAGACAAGAAAACTATATGGTATATAGATAGTCTGCTGTTAGTAGAAAGCCTTATGTTGACTAACAAATCAAAACTAACCTTGTAAACACAGCTCATACAGTAACATCATGAAATATTTACCTAAAGATTGTATAAAACGCACCAATCTTTTAAGATGTAATTAATCAGATTTCTAATTTCACCTTACTTCAGCTTCTTTTCCACACCTTTGCCTATTTCCAGATCATACTAGTTAACGAAATTTCCCTTATACTACATGCTTGAGCCTTTTCCCATTTCATTTACATGAAAGAACGAAAAAAATCTAGTATCAGTAATATACTGAGAACAATCAATTTTACATATACACTTAGTAGCAAATCTGCCCTTCACAAACAGGTTCAAATAACAAACTGTCCAAACTAGTTTTATGAAATTGATGTCGCTTAAAGATTGAACCGAAACAACCAATAAGTTTGAACTACGATCCACGATGAATCCTGAATGCATTTCACTAAATCAATCCGTTCACAAAGTTTGGCATTTTTATTAAACCGTAAGCTTCATTTGAGTGTTGAATAGTCAGTATCCATTTCGTAGATTTATCACATCCCTGACAAGTAGGTATCCAAACGAAAATACTTCTCTAAGTGTTTTGCTTATGACTCTGTCCATAAACACAAGTTGGAAGATTCATCAAGACTCGGAACTAATCCATAAAGTTATTGACTTTAAGTCTGAGGCGTGTAAGGATATATAAACATTCTTATTTTGGTGTCGATTGTGATCTATATAAGGAGACCTGAAGTGAAATCTCTGAAAAAAGATTCCTATGAAGAATATGTATTGGTCTTTTTCTCCCTTTGAATCTTGATTTTCAACATCAAGCAATACCTTGAGTCCTTCGATTCCATCCAATGTTTTTGAAATTTACCCCTCATTTTTAGCTTTCTGTCGCATTTGAAACCGATTTCGTTCTATTGTCTTTTGCCTAGTTCATTTCTTCTCTAGCTATTCAGATATGAAGTACGTACACTTGAACCAACACATATTTGTGCCAGATCGTACCTTATCTACAAGTGATCGATGAACTCTCGTCAACTGAGATTTATGGAGCATAAAAAGGCTTATATAAGTGGAAGACTAACATAAATGTACGTCAGGTGTACCAGCTTACCGTTTAAAATGGTAAATAAAGTAAGTTATAGAGTGTATGAAAGCCGAATGTTTCATAGAATACATAAAAAGGACGTCGGACCCCACATGCTAAATATTTTAGTCAGTTCAGACTAGTAGGACAGTTTTATTTAGTCAGTTGAACTGAATGCCATTTTAGGTTTTTAAAGTGAGATTCCCGATAGTACTTTGCATATAATGATAAGTTCTCTTAAATCAGAAAATTATCAGAATAAGCCGCAGAAAACAAATTCCTTAAAAAGACCACGCATACTTGATTACCCGTGTCTCTAAGGCACTTCTCACACATAGTTGGACCGGTGAATAAGTGATATTAACATCAGATCTAATTAAGGCGCAGGGCTTTAAGATGGACACACTAATTTGATACTAACCCATAAACCTAATAAGGATTTACGTGAACTTTGTTATAGAATATAAGGCATCTACCCTGGAGCTTTACTATGTAGAAAGCAGTGGATACTGATGAAAAGTATAATTAAAGGTTGAAAAATCGTATTAGCCTCTTGTTGAGGTGCAAACAGAGAATAACTTATTCTTCAATGTCCATATATTTCGGATCGTACCTTCCATCAGACCATTCCCTCGACATTGTTGAATTACCTTCACTATGGCATACTGAAGTACTAAAGGCCAATACGGCGTACTGTCGTACTGGATCTCACATTTTATCGATAAGTTAGTCCTATTATAAAACTGAATGGATAATGTCACTAACTCCAAAAGAGACCAGAGTTTATACTTTATTATTAAGAATGAAATCTTTTTTACGTAACCATACATTACACTAATCAGTTCAACAAAAATATGTCATGGTTGAACTCATTACTAGTAAAATGACCAAATAACATCTCCATTTTGTACTTTTGAAAAAAATTATGAAGATTTGGTTAATTGAAAATAAGAAACAAAGTAAATTAAAGGAAACTTCAATATAAACGTTCAAAAAAATTTGTAAAAACACCCACAAATATTGAACAAGCTAGTGAAGTCCAAAACTAAGAACTTTTATGGTATCTGTCACTTAAGATGTTGGTTAATACTACCATTTTGACAAATTAAAATGCAAAGTAGTACAGACAAACGCCTAAGTAATAAAATACATTTTGGCAACTAAATATGTCATTAACAAACCTGGGATATTGAAGGTATTTGAACAAATGAACGGAAGTATTGCATGTGAGATACATTTTCAAAAAATTTCTTGACAGAAATGTGGAGATCTCTGAATCTTTCTCTGTGACCAGACATTGTTCCATTGCCTAATAATTCATGTAACTTAAAGATGACTTGTACGCTTAGCTCATAGAGTGCTGCAGCATCTTGAATACATTGAATGAGTGGAAGAAGTTTACATTGACCAGAGGGAGTGAAGGAAGCGGCTTGAATACCCTCCAAAGAAAGGAGCACAACGTCTTTGAAGCGTAATGTTTCTTCTAGCATATCCATAAGATCGACACTAAATTGAAATCTTAAGAAAAGGAACAAGGTAACCATTTATTCAAGAAACCTTGAATCCTGATAATAGAAACGATGCTAACTATAAGATGTTTATCTACATACTTATATATTAGCAAAAGTGTGACTTTAAATGATCATCATTTCAGTTATAATCAAACTGATAAAACAACAATCAGATCGTCTGATATGGTGTATATCCTTACTACTGAGTACTAGCCAGAAAGTTTTATTAAAGAACTGATAGTTTTAAGGTATATCGCCGATTCAATATCGTATTTAGCAAATTTAGTTTAAATTAACTTTTTTAATCTTTTACTGCCACTCGACTCCCAAAAGATTAAGTTGTCTGAGAACTAGGTTAAAGGTTACATAAACTAGCTTGAATCGCAGAACAAACTACAAGTTTGATACTAAATATTTCTTATCTTACAGTTTGTAGCTGTTACATGAAATATGAATATTAGGCCACTCCACATCTAGTAGGAATGGTCAAAGAGTAGAAAATATTGAAGAAAGCTCTATAGAAGTTGAGACATGATGTCAATCAATGAGGAAATCCCCATAGGCCTGCGCAGAGAATGACAATCTTCCTGACTGACACCCTAGAGATTTTGAGAACCACTCTTTGTATAATAAAACTGACAGGCTAAACATCTACACTAAAAACATAGGCAAGGTTGTTTAGACTTTCACTAGTCCCAGAATATAGATACAAGCATATTCGGAGTTTTTAAGATTTTCTACTGAACGTCAGAACGGTTTAGAAACTAGGCTTAAAGACAATTTGGATTTGATTTTTTGATTTACCAATAAAATCCTTTTTCTAATCTCTCCTTTTTTCATAGAAAAGATAAATTAACATTCAGAAATATCCAAAGCATTTATCTTCACACACTTTTCAAGCCCAAAACGATTGCTTAACATTTAGCACTACGTTGAGATGTTACATGGTCGGGTACATATTCTTATCTGAATAAAATTCTATAGTTGCTGGCTTAACCTATCAAAATGAACCAGTCAGTCAGTTACGTGAAGAGTATAACCTGACACATGTACATCCGTCCAAGTTTATATTTCATATTACCACAGCAAGATGAAATTATCAAGACATATCTCAAGAAAGTAAAAGTAGTAACAGTAAGAGTAGTAATGGAAAAGATTAGTTTATCAGAATATCTGGAATATTTTCAGCAATCAGGTATTACGAAAAAATCTTCGGGAAGCCATGGCTCTCTCGCATGAAACTGTTGTAAAAGCAAGCTTCCAGACAAAAAAAACGGTCGTATAACAAGAAACCTGGCATTTTGACCAAATTACATTTCCAGTTAGTTCATTATGACTTATGTTTTATGATTATAATCGTTAGACATAAGTTTGTAAGCTACTTGGGCACAAACCATTTTCTGCCATGAGGGTAACTCATGAATTGAAAATATAGGTATAGTACTAAAATGACTTACAAGTGGTCTACTTGTGCAGAAAGACAACTCTTCAACTCACTAGGAGTCAGCTCCAGACTTCCAGGTAACACTCCATACTAAAATATCTTGATCTAATAAAATTACATAGTACCTTTCTGTGTAAACTGATTTTTCGGGTTATTAGTTGACAAAAATCCACGATCGGGTATCCGCACTTTGTCGCATGATTACTCTAAATTATACTAGACTTATTAGCTAAAGTTTACCCAGGCGGACTGCAATTGGGAAACTCTGGTTGCGTGACGTAGTCCATCACTTACGCACTAAAATAAGGTATAAATACATTAATCAGTTGTATTGCTATACAATACTTCACGATGCCCATCTCGGAACAATTTATGGATAACATATAAAAACTTCCAGCATACTACAGGGTTAGTGTATATGGCGAGTTTAAGTGCGGTCTCATAAAAAAATGACGATGACTTTCCATTAAACGTAGCTAAAATAATTCCACGAATATGCTTTGGCTTTGGTGGGACCTCGTGATCCGTGATTCCCTTCAAAATATGCACAATCTAATGGGTTTTTTTAAATGAAAATGATTGAATACTTGTTGCTTGTTTGTGTTGTCTTTCCCGACGGCGATGTTTTTTAAGGAATCAAGGTTAGGTAGCGGCATTCTTCACAGTTTGCATACAAAAACGACCTTGAGGTCTGAAGCACGCTCCTTCGGGCCCATTAGCAACGCGAAACTAACAGATTCAAATGGTTGTGCACGAAACATTAGTTCCTGTCTGGCTTAGATTGCTTTCAGGAACAGTTCTTCTTTTATCTACCCCTCATTTTGGCAGAACAATCAAGTTGCGCTGATCTGGCAAAACTACTGTAATACTCTTGATACTAAATACGTGACTAAATATACGATTGAGATATGTACCCAGTACATCGTAAGAAAAGAGGATAGGAACTAATCATATATTTGAATAAATTACATGTATACAAATATTTGAATTAAATCTAGTTTAATATGTATATTCATTTTATTACATCGAAACATAAAGTAAATCCCAAATAATGGGACTTGGTTTGTCGAGTGTAAGCACACTTATCTCTTCGATATCTCTGTCGCGAGTCGGTATAGACTAGTTGATTTCTTCGGGCTCACGCCTTGGTAGCGTTCAATGTGTGGTAACCTAGCCACCCGATTACAGTAATTCTGGTCAGTTTGATAGTTGCTTATGAATTTGTATATTTTATATTTCGAATTCGCGAGTATGTCACATGTCAGTAGGTTTTCTAGTACCGGCAGCTAATTAACTACCAGGTGACAGGCCAGTTGGTCTCAACGTGGAACAAACAACTGGTGGTTTAAAAATAAAGCAAATTGGGTACATTGTTTGCAATAGAGGGATTGCGGCAAATGAACAATTATTTTCTTAAAATGTCAAGCTTAACGACCTCTTGTAATATTCTCCGGTTAGCAGTTGAAACAGATCTATAGTAAGAAGAGCTATAAATATATATCAGAGGTGCCAAGAAAGAGACAGGACAGAGTCATACATGTCATATATGTGTTTTCGGGAACGTGCCACTGTGATCATGAAAAAGAGAAGGAAATAACAGGGAACAAGCAGGAGAGTAGACAATGTTTTCATAACGAATGAATATGAATCATTTGTGATAGAAAGATTGAGATGTGAGTGCTCAAATTTATTTCCTTTTGTCAGATGAATTGTTACACAGGCGTAGTTAGATGAATTAGAGAAAACAAGTCAATAGTACGGTAAAATGTGACTAAAAAACTGCACAAATAGGGGAGATTTGAAAGGGAGGAAGCAGTTTGGGATTATCCGGATCTTCAAAATGTCGTAAAACAAATACAGAGATTAGATATCCAAACGTTGTTTTAGTTATTTTTATTCAGAATTTTCGTGACTATTATCGTTATTCGTTTTCTCAAAGTCACACGTCAGTCACTCTGTTTTAGCTTAAGAGTTTGTTTCAATTTGCGATAGAAATTATCGGTGAAAATTGAAGCCAATTTGAGGTTGCATAAGTGTATTGAAGAGGTGGTTTGGATAGCAAAGCAACAGTGAAACCGTTGATAAGTTACTTCCAACTAAACCACAGGGAGCCCTTAACAGAGGAAATGCTCCTCATTGCATGCGTGGATGGATTAAGATTGTATTCCCATCATCATGTTTTCTGACTAACAACGCCATCCTTCCATCTTTCGTGATGCTAGGTGTTGCATCTAAATTCTGCTTTGGTCCATAATACGATCGACTGATTCACAAGTTGCTTGTAATCGGAGCAATAAAACAACGAAACCTCAAATAAGTTGCCGAAATGTTTATTCGAAGATTACATGCAATCAACCATATATATCGTTTTATTAATAACTCTCATCAATTTCACAACAAACCCTTAAATTTTAGGTTCCTACGGCAAAACCTAGGGAAAAGCAAGATCTTGAAATACAACCCGGAGAACACCAACCCATTCACACTTGATGAAGAAGCTCTAGAAGAGGTGGAATCTCTCACGTGCCTGGGAAGCATCATCGATGAACAAGGAGGATTCCATGCAGACGTAAAGGCGAGGATTGGCGAAGTAAGGATAGCATTCATACAATTAAGGAACATCTACAGCTCAAAACAACTGTCAGCTAATATCAAAGTCAGAATCATCAACACGAACATCAAGACAGTTCCACTGTACGGAGCTGAAATGTGAAGAACTACTACAACCATCATCATAAAGGTACAAGTAGTAATAAACAATTGTCTACGCAAGATACTCAATGTCCGTCGGCCGGATGCCATCAGTAATAGCCTACTGTGGGAGAGAACGATCCAGCTCGCAACTGAAGAGGAAGTTAGGAAAAGACGCTAGGAATGAATGGGACATATATTACGGAAATCATCAAACTCCATCACAAGACAAGCGCTTACTTACAATCCTGAAAGGGAAAGGAAAGGAGGAAGATCAGGAAACACTGTGTCGGGAATTGGAAACAAACATGTAAAGGATAAATAACAACTGGAAACAGCTGTAATGGATTGCTCAGGACAGAGTTGGATGGAGAATGTTGGTGGGCGTCATATACTCCTCCACGAGTGGTAACAAGCGCAAAATAGTAACAGGAAAACCTCCAATATAACAAGGTAATACATTGTGAAACTGAAGGTGAAGTGGGCCAAAATTATAAACAAACTAATTCATTAGTTAGTTAAAACAAATATATTTACTACAATAAAATTAATGATGTTCAAATAATGGTTAATAGTCGATCAAATGCTTTCAGTTCCTCCAGCAACACTCCTTGCTATAAGAAGCTTGGTATTTCCTACAGACAAATAAATTGTTAGCTCTGACCCAGGAGATAATAAGTATCACAAGCGACTGAACAACAATCAAAATAATCATTCAGAAAAACACAGGCCTCAGAGCTTACAGAAGTTTATTTATGATCATACTTAACTATACGGTCCCCAGAGATTCCGGTCAGTACGCTTAGGAATTCTAGTAATCATCCATCACCTACAACCTAAAGAAAACGGTATTCTAACGTCTCTTACCAAGATCTTTCCTGTCCTCAACCTAACTGGTTTCAGAGGTCCATCATCACTAGTTGTAGTGTCGGTTGACATGTCAAGCCCATATACGATATTACAGCTTGTGGACAAACCAATTCACCTATCCATCATGAGTCGTGTTTTCACCTTGTTAATTATTCACTAATTAACCCTGACCATTTATATATAAGCGTAGGTGTGTGTACACTTTCTTATCCTATTTATCACATGTCTCATTTATTCTTGTCTTATTAGAAATAGTGGTTAACGCCTGAAAAAAGCGGGTTGGCTTACCCGCCATCTCCAATGTGTACCATTTTTGTTTCGCTCGCTGATATTTACTCATGTGCTCATAACTTTCTGGCCTGTGTAATTGGACAATAAACTGTAGCTACCGCTTCCCTTAGCCTTCTGGTTTTATGCACAGTTAAGATTCGTAATATAACGGTTATCGAGGTGAACGATTAGCGAAGCACGGCACTACAAGTTACCTCTTTCTGCACTAGATCCAAAGGTCATCTATTTCTCCTAGAGAAATCAGAGCATATCACCACAGAGTCACCTTCCACCATATCTCTCCCTAACTGGGTTCATTTGTGACTGTGTTATAACAAGGAAATTCATTATTCGAGTCACTACTTCAAAAAATGCCAGTGCCGAAGAATTCGCTTTTTTAAATCATTCACGATACATGTCACTTTAATATCAGTGAATACTTACTTACGCCTGTTACTCTCGATGGAGAATAGGCCGTCGACCAGCTTTCTCCAACCCACTCTGTCCCGGGCCTTCTTTTCTAATTCTATCCATTTTCTGTTCATTTTTCTCATGTCTATCTCCATTTCTTGGCGTAATGTGTTCTTTCGTCTTCCTCTTCTCCTTTGGCCTTCAGGATTCCATGTGAGGGCTTGTCTTGTGACGCAGTTGGGTGACTTACTCAATATGTGTCCTATCCACTTCCAGTACTTCTTCCTGATTTTTTCCTCCACTGGAATCTGGTTCGTTCTCTCCCACAGTAAATTGTTGCTGATAATGTCTGGCCAACGGGTCCGAAGTATCTTGCGTAGACAGCTGTTAATAAACACTTGTATCTTCTGGATAATGGCTTTCGCAGTTCTCCAAGTCTCCGCCCCACACAATAGGACTATCTTGACATTTGTATTGAAAATTCTAATCTTGATGTTGGTTGACAATTGTTTTTAGTTCCAGATGTTTTAAGTTGTAAATATGCTGTTCTTTTTTCACCGATCCGCGCCCTCACATCTGCATCACATCCACCGTGTTCATCAATGATGCTGACCAGATATGTAAAGGTTTCCACATCCTCCAAAGCTTCTCTGTCAAGTGCAGTCCAATTGGTGCATATTGTGTTGTATCGGAGAGTCTTGCTTTTCCCTTTATTTATATTGAGACCTACTGCTGCTGAGGCTGCTGCTACACTGGTCGTTTTCTCCTGCATTTGTTGTTGCGTTTGTGATAGGAGAGCCAGATCATCTGCGAAGTCTAAATCGTCAAGCTGCATCCTGCCTATCCACTGTATCCCGTGCTTTCCTCCAGATGTTGACGTCTTCATGATCCAGTCGATCACCAGAAGAAGGAGAAAGGGTGAGAGTAAGCAACTAAGGATGCAACGAATGTTCTAATTTTACAACTAGTTACCAGTAGCACCTTCTATGTTCGATCGTTCCCAGTCAGATAGAAATCAGAAGTCAGACAAGAAGAGGCAGGAAAGATATATTTGATTCGTTACCAATATATCGAGGACCTTTTTTATGAGCTGGCTAATGAAACGTAGGAGCTGTGTCCCACGCCGAGTTGAAACGTGATCTGGTACGGATGCATGACCGAAAGCCTTCAGCTAAACAAGTCCACTTAAACAACGTGGTCAGCATCCAATGTCGAACACTTAATGAGCTATTGATTTTGGGGAATTATTTACAGCTACAGATCACTCCCCCCTAGTGAGGTAGTGATGCCCCTAAGACGTGACCAGCCAGAAGTTTAAACCCAACGAGTTTGTCGTTGGTAAACACTCTTCTGATAGCTTGCTTCGTTTAGCAGCGTCTGGTCGTCTTTCCTTAAGTTATGGGACCAAAATGTA